TTTAAAAAAAAAAAAAAAGCACGAATATCGACAATGGCCACAGACCTGTACTTCCATTTACTAATGGCTGCTGTCAGATGACGTGGATGTTGAGAACATCTGTACAAGCAGTTGTCGTTGAGAACGACCATATCCACGTCGTGAAAGATAAAACAGTCGTAGTTGTCGATCTTTAGCGCCTCCAGGTAGCCGATGTTAAACAGCAAACAACGGTTGAACAGTGTCGGCATTGCCTGAGGAAAAAAAGGATGGAAAGGGGTGGGTGGTGGGGGTGGGGCGCATGAGAATAAGATTAAAAAAAAAAAATTAAGCACAACAGAACGTGTTCTGTACGCTGTACAGTCCACACACGACCTGCTCCAGCTGACAGACCGTGCTGCTGACGTCACCGTGTCGGGCTAACGATGCGTTAACGCAGCGGTTCTTAAACGGGGTGCCGAAGAACCTTTGAGTGCCGTGAGCGTATGCCAGGGGTGCCGCGGCAATAATCAAGAAAAGTCGGCTAAAAATTGTGAAATTATTGAAAAAGGCATGGAGATACCTAAAGTTACAATTTAAGTTGTCCTTCCTGGCCACTGTCAAAGATAGTTTTTTTCTTGTTTAAGAACCGCTGCGTTGAGACATTGTTAGCCCGACCCTATGACGTCAGCAGCATGGCCTGTCAGCTAGAGCCGGTCGTGGTCCACATCGGGCTGCAGGTTACTTGGTTACCGTTGTGTGCTCTAGTATAACTGTGTTATAGGGATGAAAAGGGGCTTCTTGTGATTAACTCTTGTTGAATTCGCATCCGAACAACAGCTCTTTGAATGATCCGATTGCAATCTTTGACATTTCTAGCCAATAAAATTTAATCACTAATGACAAAATGTACGTGGCTGAGAAGAATAAAGGAAACAATTGCATAAAACACCTACATTAAATCACTTAGCTGTTTAAGACGCAGGTCTTCTCATGGCCGATTTATCAGTCGAATATTGTAAACAAGACATTGCTGAGAGTCCCCCTTAATAGACACAAATGACCGGCTACAGGCTCTGGTCGCTATTATGCAATATGAAGGAAATGTCAGATGCCCCTTTGGATAGTTCTGTAATTGATAAAAAGAGCAGTCCAGATGTTCTGAAGAGTCGACGGTTCGTAGACAATTTATCAGAACGGGATATATTATTCGAAAAAGAAAACTGGAACATGTTGTGACCACTGGAAAGATCTGTAGAAAAAGAAACAATAAGACAACGCAAGCCGACTCTTGGCAGCCTTTTGTATTGGCAAGAAGGGGTGTCAACACACGAACTGATACATGTTGTTGAAGATCACAGACTGCGGTAAGGCATGATCACCCACGCCAGTCAATGAGGGTAATTGATCACATTTATTGCACATAGTTATCTCCTCCTATAGATCAAGTAATAATCATCTCATCACAGTGAACTAAATATTTGAAGAAGACCATAAAGATAAAGACAAAATTACAATTGGGAGGATAACAGAAAATGACAAACACATAGCAGTTTCACAGAGTATAGAACCAAGTCGAGAGACAGATAATGTTGGTAGTCTACTGCAGTAATTCTTTAGCGTGGAGACGGCATGCGATTGACCGATTGATTGTATTTCACAGTCTACATTTTGAACTGAACCGTTCAACATAAGCCAGAAATGGCTCGCTGAACTTCGCCTCTATGCCTATGGTGTGGAGGCACATCATGGCCTGTCTCCAGTCATACAAGAGCGAACAGCTCGAAATGAGGTCGTTTTACAAAACCAGTAGCGGTAATAGCAAAGACAAAAATAGCAACAGAAAGAAAAATAGCCACAGTAGTAACACGAGCAGGGACGACAATATAGAAACAAAAGGTAGGTGATTTTAAACAAAAGTTTGCGTATCCTTTACAGGAAGTTGCATAACCAACAATAGCATTTTTTTTTTCTGCTGTAGTTTTTCTAGGCAAATTTTAAGTCAAGTAGTTTTTGCTTTCTGACCGGTTAGATCTCGGTACTACTGTCAAAACGAACTCAAGACCTTCTGATAAGATGGTAGCAACTAAAACAACGACAACAACCGTAGCAGCATCAGTAACCGTAGAAACAATAACAGAAGGGAAATTACACCAGCAACATGATCAGCAGCAGCAACATAAAAACAGTCAAAAACAACGGGGACATTGTCAACAACAAAAATACAATTGGCGAGAGCAACAACAACAGTAACAACAACAACAGCGCTGGCAGGAGCAGCAACAGTAATTTCAACAAAATAACAATGCCACAACATCAACAATGGCGACAGCAAAAATATCAACTACGACAACAACAGCAACAGTGGCGAAAGCAACACGAACAATGGTCACAGCAACACCATCATTAACAGCAATTACTAACAGCAACAACAACAGTTAAAAAAAAAAATAGCCAGCCAAACCTGATCGATAACAAATATTCTAAAATCCAGTTGCTGTCGTATTAGAACTGGCAGCAGGTTGTTGAGCAGATGTGCAGGTGGGAGTGTCTGTTCCTGAAGGGTATAATGATGGCCAGTTTCTCCAGGGCAGCACAGTCCTCGGGGGCATAGTGTCCTCCCGTGAGGCTGGCGTAGTTCTTCTCTAGAAATTCGGGCACCATGGATGCCAGATTGCTGGGCACATGTCCTACTGAGGGACAGGCAATCAGAGAAGTAATTAAAAAAAAAAAAAAAAACCCACACAAACAGTCAGTCATTTACAGGGTCCACACGCACACACTTTTGCTTTGCTGGAAAAAAAAAATCATCAAATTCAAATAGCAGGCCCGAAGGGGAAGCTTTAGGTTATAACTGTGACTGGGTGATGTGCGCCATATAAAATGGCTTAGTATTACATGCCAAGAACCCTGAAAAGGACTCCTGCAGTGTTTATGCGATCAAAGGAGACAGACTCAAATACTGTTCCAACTTCTGACGAAGTCGTCTACCTGCTAGCTAATGGGCAACCCGATCACCGATGTCATGCACACACACACACACACACACACACACATACACATACGCACCACACGGCGGTAGCAAGTACCTACACTTTTACTTGGTGGTTCGAAAGTCATGTGTTGAAATCCGCATCAAAATTAAATGAAAAAATATATATTTGATCTGTACTTAAAGGTCAGAGGCCACCGTGGTGTAGCGGCTAGGCACTCGCCTGTAAATCAGAAGGTCGTGGGTTCAAGTCTTGACGAAGACGGTCATTTTGTCTCCCAGGTCTACCCAACCTTAAATGTATACCAGTTGTAGCCCTGGTAAGTAAAGGTGGCCGGCATAAAGTTGACCACGTGCAGTTGGTCTACAAAATATAGGTCTAACCCTATATGCCGAATACGCAGGAAAGCCTGAAAATGGTCCTTTACTTACTCAAAGGTGAGCGCGGCTTTAAATCGGTACAAGAAAATGTCACGGAAAATAGAGGCGACCGGTGGGAAGTTCACAGTGTCACTGACTGAGTGCAAATTGATCTATTACCTCTTTCAGTCTGTGGGTTTGAATGGGTTAAAATAATAACGTCGCGAGGAATACTGATTTATGGCAACAGATGAAGCGCAGTGGTTTGGGGTAAACAATTGGGGGTGGGTAAAGGAGAGACGGAACGCTTATGGGAGTGTCCCGAGTGCTATGACGTGGATTCTTAATTCAACAATCAACATTCAACAAGGAAGGACAGGCGGAGTGTAACAGGACACCTCACTTCCCCTGTGGTGACCTACAAATTGCCTAAGGTGGCTCCAATATTCTGTACAATCATTTGTGCTGCTCAGTGATTTTTTAAAACATATCCAGAGACCATGAACTGTGAACCCTTTGGCTCTGTATTATAGATATCGCAACCGTTCGGCCTTGATTCCATGACAGGTACCGTAAATCTGGGAGAAATGTCTCCTTTTCTGTCTACCCCCTGGGAGTGAACCAGGACCACAAGGAGTTCGGCACCCGGTCGCCGCGCAGTCAGGTTTAAACAAATGACTACAACCTATTATTAGTTATCGAAATATATGCATTTAGTTGGAGGGGAACCCAGACAGACAGACAGACAAACAGACAGACAGACAGACAGACAGACAGACAGACAGACAGACAGACAGACAGACAGACAGACAGACAGACAGACAGACAGACAGACAGACAGACAGACAGACAGACAGACAGACAGACTGATATATAGAAAGAAAAATCGAGACATAGAGATGCAGAGATATAGACAGACAGGAAGGGGGAGGGGTACGAAACATAAAATAGTAAGATAAAGAGAGGCTGAAAAAAGCACATGCTCTCTCTCACACACACACACGCGCGCGCGCACATACATAGATGTTAGCATGGCTTTCAGAAATGAGCTTTATCTACATTAGAAGTGACTGGAATGTCACGGGAGAGAAGGCTGTGAAAACATATGATGACCAGTGCGATGAAACACGTAGAGTAGGATGAAGTACTAAGAGATTACTTACACAATCCAGGTGGTTCGCTGGGACATTTTCTCTTCAACAGCATGGTTGTGCTTAAGAACTGAGTTCGATTCCCGAAATGAGAATCCTGAAATGATGAGTTCGCCTGCATCAGTCGTGCCAAGAGCTTTTTTACATCCTCTGGCTTTTCCATTTGGGAAAGTAAATCCTTCGCGGCCTGGAAACTAGAGGCATCGCTCTTTGCCAGATTAGATAAAATATTTGAATATTAGGCGGGATTTCCAGTTTGTTGTAGCCTTTGCTAGGTTCTCTCTTCTGATAACGAGAGAAGAGTTCCCGCGTCTCAAACTTTGGTCTGTGGCCATTGATCGCAGAGACTGTAAGAAAAAAATTGTTTATAATCAAACAACTGGCATGAGAAACACAAATGTGATTTGCTGCTAGCTTCACCATTGATCTTTGACATCATGAGAGCTAATCGGTTGAAATGGCTAGGGCATATTGAGAGAATGTTAGCTCACAGAGAGTTCAAAACTGTATACACAGGGGAGATGAATGGTCGTAGGCCACGAGGCAGACCAAGAAGACGATGGAGAGAAAATGTCGAGAGAGATCTGCAAATACTTGGTGTTACTAACTGTAAAGAGAAGGCGAACCAGAGAGATGAGTGGAGGCGGGTGATATCGGCAGCAGCAGCAGCAGCAGCAGAAGAAGAAGAAGAAGAAGTTGAAATAAACAGTTATATTTATGAGAGGGGAAAACACTCTTGTAGTTAGATTCAGTTGGCACATTTCGTTTTTTTCCCCCAAGACAACATCGAAACGAGGAAATCACAGCCCATGTCGATGGCGAGTTGGACTAATAAGAAAAGTCTCCCATAATTAAAACATGCGATCTTAGGACCATTGCTAAATACAAGCTTGATGAGGACAAAGAGCTTTGTCTTAACCGTGAAATTTATGTTTGCACCCCCCCCCCCCTTCCTTTGTGTGTGTGCTCATTATTGTTGTTGCCTTGCCTACCCTGATATTGATTTCTGGATCCTGTGATAGTGTATTGTTGCCTGAGGATCCCAGGTGTGTCAAATGGTCAACTGCCTCCACCATTTCACCGTCAGTGATGACTGCAGGAATACCATTAGCACACTGCAACATCATCGTTTCTTTCTTTCTTTCTTTCTTTCTTTCTTTCTTTCTTTCTTTCTTTCTTTCTTTCTTTCTTTCTTTCTTTCTTTCTTTCTTTCTTTCTTTCTTTCTTTCTTTCTTTCTTTCTTTCTTTCTTTCTTTCTTTCTTTCATTCTTTCATTCTTTCATTCTTTCATTCTTTCTTTCTTTCTTTCTTTCTTTCTTTCTTCTGGTCTTTTCTGTCTTTCTGTCTTTTCTTTCTGTTCTGTCTTTCTTTCTTTCTTTCTTTCTTTCTTTCTTTCTTTCTTTCTTTCTTTCTTTCTTTCTTTCTTTCTTTCTTTCTTTCTTTCTTTCTTTCTGTCTTTCTTTCTTTCTGTCTGTCTTTTCTGTCTGTCTGTCTGTCTGTCTTTCTTTCTTTCTTTCTGTTTTTCTTCTTTCTTTCTTTTCTTTTCTTTCTTTCTTTCTTTCTTTCTTCTTTCTTTTTTCTTTCTTTCTTTCTTTCTTTCTTTCTTTCTTTCTTTCTTTCTTAATTGTTAGTCCAAACTCCAAATACGCATTAGAGGATGTAGACAGTAAATATTACAGTTGCTCCTCTGAGTTGGTTGTAGTTGCAAAAAAAAGCAACTCTCTGATAAGTATCCTCCTAATCCCAGTCTTGGCTTTCCTCCTACAAACCTTGTAGAGGATGTGACGGATTGAAAGCGGCATACGTCAGAAGGCGTTGGGAGTATATACCAAAGAGGATAAGGCCCCATTCACGTTTTCCGGCACATCGACACACTTCCTCAGTCCGCTCTAGGTCAGAGAGGTGTCACGTTGTACTGGTTTCTTCGAAAAGATTCTCTGATGGGAACTAGGCTCAGGCTGTGGGTAGGGGGTGTTGGTTATGGCCAGTTCTAGATGTTCTGGGGTCGTTAAAAGCTGTGTCGTCGTATAGTATAGAACACGTGACATCGGAGCTGATGTAATTGGAGGCAAGACAACGTGACATCCCTCTGACGTAGAACAGTTTTGAGAAAGCATGAATGAAAGGTCAGTCAGTGTGTACATGGGCCAGAAAACGCAAAAAGGACCGAGTATAATGATGAGATGGGGCTGAGTGATATCTGCTACACTGAATCACATGACTTGAGAAAGACATACAAACCCTCTTAAAATTATCAAATTTTTGAAGACAAAAAAATGGTGTCGTTATAATAAAAAGAATTAATGTACATAAAAAAAAAAAAAAAAAAGTGGAAACCTGGAAACTAAAGAATACGGGGAAAAAACATGTTTCTGAACGACAGCATAAATTACAATTTATGCAATCAGACACAAGAAAGCACACACATCAATAGTTCTAAAACTCACATAGACACATTTAGCTACAGCATTTGCAGCCCTAAACAAAAAAATAAAGACACACCTTCCTTTCGCCTACATGGTTCACCTACAGGCAAATTTTCCTAGCGATCTAATGGTTACAGTTTAAACTTTACTAGCGCCTACAAGGTAACACTTACAGCCAATCTTTCCTAGCACCTACATGGCAATACTTAACTGTTAAAATGTCCTAGCACCTACATAGCAACGCTTATAAACCTTTCAGGTGTTATATGTCAACAGTTACAGTCAAACCCCTACTTTTACACGACAACATCTATAGTCAAACATTCCTAGCACATATATGCCAACGCACAGTAAGAATTCTCTAGCGCCCACAAGTCACCACTTACGGATACAAAGGTAAGCCTTTATAGTGTCTACATGGCAATGCTTACAAAATGTTCTTGCATTTAAACATCAACACTTAAAGGATAATTTTTTCAGCACCTACATGTCAGTGCAACAGGCAAACTGTCCTAACGCCAAAATGCTAACACTTACTGAAAAATTTTTCAAGCGTCAACATGCCAGCTCTTACGGGCATACTTTTCTAGCGCCTACATATCATCACTTACAGGCACACCTTTCCAGCACCTACATGTCAACACTTACAGGAACACTTTTCTAGCAACTACATGTCAACACTTACAGGCACACTTTTCTAGCAACTACATATCAACACTTACAGGCACACTTTTCTAGCACCTAGATG